GGTACATATAGAGATTGTCTCCACTATGTACCCCATACACATAGTGGAGACAGTCCGTGTGTACCACATACGGAGACCATGTGCTGGACCAAAGAGCCGAAGCTCAACACCCCAACAAGCACAACTAGGTGAATGCATACACATAGGAACTGTCTCCACTACGTATAACATACAACATAGAGACACATACTATTTTTCAGTTTAGAAATTGCTTAAAAATTTTCACTAAATAATTTCAAAGGTCCCTCCCAAAATTCCCCCCTATGACCTAAGATGGCGTATGTTAGGTCTAGATTTTATTTAGGCTTAGGACAGGTTAGATTAGACTTAACAATTACTGTTTAAATACAAAACGTAACTTTGAAAGGGTTTAAAACAGTTCAATTTTATACATTCTTCCAATAGTTAGCATAAATATTATCATTTATTGGTGATAGGTTGAGTGAGATATATATAATGGCAACAACAAATTAAAAACAATTAAACAATGGTAATTTGCATAGACTATGAGTTAGTAGGAATATGTAAAATAATAACATAGCAAATATACCAGATATGAATGTGAAAATATGCTAGATGTCGGTAAATTCTGGGACCAGGCTTGAGGCCTCACTTTGAGCACAGTTCATGATGAAAGGTAGATTAGAGTAGTTGTAGCAAAGTAACAGGACTACTGCTAATGGTAGAAGCAGTAGATGTAATTGTAGTGGTGGTGGTCCTACTTTGTGATGGTGATATTGGGTAGTTGTTAGTGGTAGTGTTTGTACTAAGCGGTGGTGGTGGTGGTGGTGGTGGTGGTGGTGGTGATGATAGTTGGTTGTATTGTTTAGTGGTGATGTTGGGAATTGAAGGTGATGGTGGTGGTTGATGGTGGTGATGGTTGGTGGAAGTGATGGTGATGATGATGTAAGTGATAGTGGGGAGTTTATGGAGGTGATGACTGTAGCTGGTGGAGGTGATGTTGGTGGTTAGTGATGATGTTGATGGAGGTGATGTTGATGGTTGGTAGAGGTGATGGTGGTGATGATGATGATGATTGGTGGTGATGATACTAGTGATAATGGTACTGGTTGGTAGAGGTGATGGTAGTTGTGATGGTGATAGGTGGAAATGATTGTAGTATCAGAGACAAAACTATCAGTTGGAGTATTGCCAGTCACAGTACATGTGGTAGTATTTAGTGTCTTTCTCACTTTCTTCAACATTCTCCAACCTTCTCCCCACTCTCCTTTCTATACCCTCTCTTCACACTTTTCCCAATCATTTCCCCTCTCATACCTTCTCAAACTTTCTTCCTCCTTCTCCTTTATCTATCTCTCTCTCTCTCTCTCCAAAATTTAAAATTACGAACTGCTGAAAATTTTAAAAATCTGTGGAACACAAAATTTGCAATTTCAGATTTCGTGAAACTTGCTGGGGGGAGGGGGGGGCTATAGA